TTTTTTTCTGACTCCTGGTGAACTTTGAAAACCGCAAACAACGTTGTCAGCACAAGCACGCCTTCTGTCTGGGCCTTCCTGGGCCGACGCGTGCGGTGGTGGCGGGGACAGGACAGGAGGGCCAGGGCAGTCGGTGGGTCTCTGGCGCTGGCAGATGTGACCATGAGGGAAGAGCGGCGCTCTCCCAACGGTTCCTCCTGTGAAATCACCCCCTCTGCTCTTCCTGCAGGAAGTGTTACTGAAGAGGGCGGCGGACCTTGTGGAAGCCTTATACGGAATGCCTCACAACAACCAGGTAGGCGAGGTCGCCGCCCCCCTGGCTGCCCTTCCCTGGGGGACCAGCGCCCTCAGGCGACTGACCAGCTTGGCCCCAGTGCGGGCTTCCTGGGCACGCTTGGACGCGTTTGCAACGATTCCACGAGAATCTGATGGGAGAACAGCTTCACGTTCAAATGAGTCGTATCGGGACCCAAAAGCAGAAGAGTGTGTTAGAGCAAAGAGCACCACCTTGAGATCCGTCTGCAGTGTTCGGGGGTGGGCGGGCTGGGATGGTGCTGCCAGGGCCCAGAGAGAGCCCGATGGGCGCCCCACCGCTGTCCTCGCTTGGCCTGGGGGCTCCCAGGGGCCCTCCCTCCAGAGGTGGTCCTGGTTCTCAGACTCTGAACCCTGGTCCCCACGCGTAGCTCAGGGGCTTTTCTGGGTTAGGGTCCTAAGAACGGAGCAGATGCAGATACTGCACCCCTCGGAAGCATCAGTCAATTCCTTTGCTCGGGGCGGTCCTTTTCCCATTTGGTCACCGTCTGGGCCCAGGGACAGTGGCATGCCACCCAGGGAGGCGAGTGGGGCGGCGCCTAGGGAGTGCGGCCGGCTGGGCCGGCTTGGGGTGACAGGCGTCCCCTCGTTCCCGCCGCAGGAAATCATCCTGAAACGAGCGGCGGACATCGCCGAGGCATTGTACAGCGTCCCCCGCAATCACAACCAGATACCCACCCTGGGCAACACCCCCGCGCACACGGGCATGATGGGCGTCAACTCCTTCAGCAGCCAGCTAGCCGTCAATGTGTCGGAGACGTCACAAGCCAACGACCAAGGTAGGCTGCCGCGCCCGGCGGACGGACCCCTTTCCCGACGCCCTCCATGGGTTGGTTGAGGCCTTAGCTGCAGTAGAACGAGTCAGGAGCCGGCCGGGGGATGTCAGGAGCGCTCCTCTCCGTTCCTTTCCTCGGGGAAGACCTAGCCCGCAGACCCTCCTGGCCAGTGCTGGGCAGAGAGCACCCGGGGGCCTGATGACCGAAAGCAGCCGCTACCCTGGCTGCCATGCGGTTCGCTGGTATTTGCTAGACGTTTCCCCCAACGTATCCGCAAGTGACTTTGCTTTCCTTGAAAGGCTGGGCTAAGCCCTAGATAGTGGTGGTGTGGGGAGCCCAGGGGTGCCTGCTTGGCTGTGGTGCACGGCTGGGATCTGGGCTCTGAGTTTGGAATGAGCCCGTGGAGAGAAACTCCCATGTCCCCACCCGGCACCTCACCCCGTGGCACGATGTCCTGGGTCCACCGAGGCCTCTGGACCTCGTCATCGGGGTCCATTTTAATCGTCCTCTTTGAAAACCACGCGGACGGCCGTCTTGGCCAACACCTCAACCCGACGGCCGCTTGTGTTCCACCCGTCCACACTCCCACGGCAGGCACGGAGCTGGGGGTCCCCCCCCGCCCCCGCACGTAGAAATAGCAGCCGCAAAAATGAAGACCCCCAGACAGCCTTTCGGGGGAGTGATGGCCACCGACGAGCTCTCCTTGTCAGTCATGGCATGTGCAGGTCTGCAGAGGCCGAATGTTCGCAGTGTGTGGGGGGACAGAGCAGGAATTCGAGCTGTTGGTCATGGCCTCTAAAGAGAAACATGACAGCCGTGGGCAGAGAGATCGCCACACGCTCGGGCCAGCCGTCGAGGCCAGCGGAGACGGCGCGGGCTGGCCAGCCAGGTGGTGGCGGCAGGGTTGGCGTGATCTGGCCACCTGAGCTGGCTAGTGGAAGGCTCAGGGTCAATTTGCAATGTTGGCTATGTGATGTAGGCTCTCGGGGAATCCCCCCCAAGTGTCTGTCGCTGATAATAACGTTATTTTTGGCCGGGGGGGGGGATTTCAACAGTCGGCTACAGTCGCAATACAAGCAGCGTGTCCCCGCGAGGATATGTCCCCAGCAGTACTCCCCAGCAGTCCAATTACAACACAGTCAGCACTAGCATGAATGGATATGGAAGTGGCGCCATGGCCAATCTAGGGGTCCCTGGCTCGCCTGGATTTCTTAATGGCTCCTCCGCTAACTCTCCCTACGGCAGTAAGTGTCTGTTTTTGTCACACGTCATCACGCAGATTCATATTCACTGCAGAGTCGAGTGTGTGCCTTGCTTGGGTGTTCTGTGATGTGAGCTACTGGATAAAAGGAAGGGTGGCCCTGGAGGCTGGGCGTCCACGTGACACGGCAAATTGACCCCCCCCCCGGGCC